TCATCAAAAGTTTACACCAAATGGGGAACAAAATGAAGTACCTTGTCAGTCTGATGATTCAGTACTAGGTGGCACAGACATGATAATAACAGGAACAATGAATCCTGCGGATGATACCATCTTTCTCAAAGTACAAATTTCTCAAAAGAATGGTAAATTGCTTCACCATTTATTTTTCAGAAATAAAGAATTGTAGTTCAAAAACTTGCATGCAAGAGTCAGGATCTTAATCTCTTTATAGTCTATATATATGTTAAAGAGGTGGCAAATGAACGAGTTAGCTTAAATTTGGATAGTCAATTCAATAAGGATCATGAACCAGCTAGTCCAAAATTTATTTGGGTCAAAATCGGTCAAATAACATGTCATGACCCAACCGGCTCAACATGATGTGACCTCCAATTTTATTAGACCTCCAATTTACTTATTTATTCTTGCTTTTTTGAAAAAGAAAAGTGAAAGCTAATGTATTTTTTTAAAAATTATCAGCTTAATTAAGTTCTTCAAATTTTATATAATTTCCAATCTTCAAATTTGATTCTAGCTAAAATCATCCCTCAATTATGGCTCAAAACTAGAGTACGTCCTTCTCTAATAATAGTGAACAAAAAACATCCCTTAGCTATCCAAAAAAGGCAAGAATCATCCTTCCGTTAATTTTCATTAAGAAACTAACAGCTACAACCAAAACATGTGTCAAGCACGTGACTTCAACCCCTAGCCCCCCACAAAATCTCACTATTTTATCCTTCCTGATCATCTCGTCTTCATCCTTCACCAAAGCTTAGGCTTCTAAAACTTATTTTTTTTCAATGTAATAAATATTAAAATATTCAACTTCTATATTAAACAAAAGACTTTCTAGAATTTTGTAAATTCAGTAATATAGTATAAGTTAATCTGAAAGCTATTGTATATGATATTATCAAATGCTTAAAGAATCTATAATATCAATAATACCATTGATGGGTGTGGATGATTGACCTCTTAAACTTCGAGTCAGCATTTATCTATTGTTTCTTATGCTTCAACCCACAAGATCTGGTGCTTTTAAGAATGAGGAAGATATTTAGTCTGAGAAATAGCAAAATACTACTCCGGGCGAAAAAAGCCAAAACTTTTTTAATGGCTATTGTTGCTTTTACCTTGTTTGTGAGGCGTGGGAAGATAAGTAATGGAGAATAGCCCTAGCTTCAATTCTAGTTCAAGAAAATAACTTATCTTGTTGCTCTAGTTATTTTATGAACTTATCTTCAATCGTATAGCTTTTGAAGCCTAATATGAAAGAGCGGGATAGCTTCGGGAGGGATAGAATCAGGAGTATAGGGAGATCTTGGGGGAAGTCATGTGCTTGGCACAAGTTTTGGTTGTAGAAGGATGATTCTTGCCCCTTTTTTATTAGTTAAGAGATGTTTTTTATTCACTATTATTACACAAGGATGTACCATGAAGGATGATTTTAGCCAAAAACTCTTTAGGTTTGTGTGCATCTTGACCTGTTGTGTTACACTATTCTGTCCCTTTTGACCCAATAATTTAATGGGTCATTTCGGGTTCAACCCATTGGATCAAGCCAACAAAGGGGATATAATCCAACCGTTTAAACTCGGACGAGTTGCTAAAAAATGGGTTGATTTTGCCACCTATAAATTATGTTATGTGCCTGCTTATCTAGTAATTGTCTAGTTTTATTTAAGATGCCCTAGCAATTAAAATGTTACTCATTGGACTTGTCCATTTTTAGGCAAAGCAAGGAACATATTCTTCCCATTCGACATATCTAATGACACTGCAATGGAAGTGGCAGTGGAAATGGTGAAGGAGTTAGACATAACAGATTGGGATCCTCTTCAAATTGCTGATATGATTGACCAGGAAATTTCTGCTTTAATTCCAACATGGAAGAATTCACAGAACTCTGTTCAGAATTATGAACAGCAGCATAGCTTCAACTACGTAGAAGATGATGACGAAAACCATCGCAATCTTTTCTATTACATTTCCTCCCATTCTTCTTCTCAACTTTCTCTCCCTGGTCTACTCCCTTCATATCATCAAGAAAAATTGGACCATGATTGGCTTCAAGGTTTGTATCGGTTTCTTTTTTCATGATTGTGAAGTAATTTACGCGTCACATAAAAATAATTGAACTTTTAACCATTATGGCGATAAAATCAGTATGTTTGTCATTATAGGGGATAAAGTAGGGTGAGTTTACCATTATAATGTAAAGTTTAGTTACTTTAATGTGACAAAAGATATATAGTTCTGCAACTTTACCGTCATAATAGGTAAAAGTTTATTGAGTTTACTGGTATAGAAAGTAAAATTCAATTACTTTAATGTCACAAAAAATAACTTTGTGACTCTACTGTCATATGTGATAAGATTCAGTAATCCTACGTGAAATTAATTTGATATCTATCTGCAACTTCTCAATGTCCCGTGTTGCAGATGAGTTGAAACCGTATGATGATTCAAGTTCTCAATGCTCGATGAACTCCTATGGATCCTACAACAACTTAAACTTCTGTTCCCTTCAAGAAGATGATGCTGATTTGAACTACAAGAAAGCAGAATCTCAGTACTGTACTGATCAGAAGACAAACAAATGTACTACGAGGTTCTGTCCTGAAACAAACATGTCCAAAAATCAGAGCGCGCTAATGAATCAACATCCAAAATTGACTAAGGTAAAATCGCTAGTTGATATCCGTAGTCAATTGATGCATCGTTCTCTTGTAGAAGAGATAAATAAGAGGCGCTTGTTCAACACTGTTGGTGCTGTTGAGAATATTGGCTATCACGATCCAGCCTTCAAGAAAAGCCATGGCTTAGGTTGGTGACCTTCATATATGCTCGTCAAAGGTTATCCCGATGGTTAATGTTGAATGTGTAAACAAAGATCTCACACCATGTTAAAAGTACCTTTAGACTGGCTTAGCCCAAATAAAACGAACAGAATGTGATCTCTCTTCCGTCAAGTCCTTTGGGACTTGAAGACAATGATGAAATATTTTTACTCATCGTCTGATTGTAAGATATTATTGAATCTCAAAACTTTCAAGTTTATGTTTATGTGAACTGCAGTTCTCTGCCATAAATATTTGTTGTAAACTTGTGACAATATTCAACTTTTTCATTTTGGTTTAGCTCAATGCCTCAACTGAAGAGTAAACACGAAGTCCTCAAATATCGGATACTTCCTGAAATGGAATACATAATGGTCATCACCAGATAAAAGGTCACATATCAAGTCAGGAAGACTCATAAGTATGTTAACTCCTTATCAAATATTTCTCACGATTCTGCCGAGGCGGATGACCGATCCCATAATAGTAATGGCACGATTTCCTGTCATAGCGTATGGTCTGATCCCATAATAATAGTATACACTACCGAGGTCGTACGGTCCGATCCATAGATGCATATCATAATACTATCGAGGCGAACGACCCGATACCATAATGGTACTGCTGAGGCATTCAGCCCGGGCCCATAGGAATACTGAAACTTGACGGGTCATTGGCCCCACTCACGAATATACGTGTGAGTTATGAAATTTGAGAGACTTTTGAACAAATTCGTCCAATCGGGAGAAATTCATAAAAGAAAGTATAATTTCCACTACTAATAAATTAGCTCGTCAAGTGTCTAAAATAGCAAGTCCAATGCCTTACTCAAATCTAGTCCCAGGCTAAGTTACAATTTAAAATATTTAATCATGCAAGAATAACTCAAATAGTATAATTAAAATATGGTATGCGTCTAAGTTTACATGAACATAATCAGAAATTCTAGCAAACGCACGGGCACTCGTCACCTCATATGAGCGTAGCTCCCATAACACGTAGCACATAACAAATATAGCACCTACAGGGTAAATTTCCCCTCACAGGGTTAGAAAGCAGACTTACCTCGCTCCGAAATCCGATAACCGACTCCAACGCCTCTCTAACACCTCAAACCAATGCCAAACAATCCGAAACTAGTCAAAAAAATGTGCAAACCAATCAAAATATGCTCAAAGACTCATAATTTAACAATTAAAAATAATTTCCAACTCCACAAGAAAAGTCAACAAAATCATACCCCGAGCCCGTGCGTCTGGATTCCAAAAATTATCGAAGATAAATATTACCAATAGCACCACTAACTCAAATATATAATTTATTTCCAATTTCATGCCAATTTCGTGGTAAAAATCTAAAATTATCATTTCTAGGTCTTCTTCCAATATTCAGCAATTTCGACCAATTTTTATATTAAAATCCATATATAATCTATGTATTTAACTCACAATGGGTATGAATCACTTACCTTGGGACGGATGATAAAAAAGCCCCTTCAAATTCGCCCCAAAATCAACTCCAATGAGAGAAATGAAATAAAAATAAGTCAAGTCCCGATTTCAATTCTTATACACTGGCTAGTTGCCCTTCGCGATCGTGAAGGCCAAATCAGCCACGCCCAGCTCACTCTACGCGAGAGGGAAGGCCAAATATTTTCTATTACATTTTATTGAAATTATTTAAGTTTATTTAAATTAAATCTAAAAAGGTTTAAAGGCTAAATCGGCTACACTTGTAATTTCATAATCAAAGGAGAAATGGCCATTTCTTAAATCAGAAATGGCCCAAATACCCAAGCCCAATCCAAAATCTGACCCAGGTCCAACCCCTCTCTTTTCACCTTGGAGATCCATGACCTCCTTTACGATCCAATTAAATTGTGCCACATCACCCCTTCACCACACTCACAAAATAAACACACTTAATCCGAGCCGTCTATATATTTGATCAACGACCCACGTTTTACCTCGTATTTTCTTTAATTTTAAACACATCCCCGGATTTAATCTCAGCCGTCAAAATCTATAGATCCAACAATCCTCATATATTATCGTTTAAAGTGTTTAATCCCTGAATTATCAGGGCCGTTGATCTAAAGATCCAACGGCTCATATCACTCCCACGCGTTTAAGTAGAGATGGACTAACCTACCCAAAACCCCAATCATTTCCTTCCCCGACTCGGCCATCCCCTTTCCCCTTCCTCTCTCTGTTCTCTCAACTCACATAACCAAATCAATCACAAACCTTGCACAAATTCGTGCAAGGTCGTGAATCAACCATAAAATCATCCCTTCTGCCTCCCCAAGCCGTGATTCTCTCCAACTCCCTTCCCGTTTCATCACTTGAAATTCAAGTTCCTAAATCTGAAACCCTAGATTCAATGATGCAACATTAAATCTCAAGATTTCTCTTATGCGCTGTTAAATCTATGGCATGCATGGCCATTTCTTTAGTGTTATCATCATTATTCTTTGTTATCATTATTCTTTAGTGTTATCATCATTATTCTTTAGTGTTATCATCATTGGGGCTTTTATCTGGTGGATTTTGCTTTCAACGGACAGTTTCCCCATCTCAGGTAAAACTATCACTGCTCTTACCTCTGTCTTCTCTGATTTCACTCAATGTTGCTCACATCATCTACTCTTCGTCACTCTTCACTATCATTTTGAATCTGTGAAACTCTAAGGCATTGAATGCCACTATAAAAAGGGTCATTCAATGCCCTCACCAGGAGATAATCTAATACCATCGGAAATACAAAAAGAAAGAAAAGGCAAAATTTGAGCTTTCCTCACTCTTTACTGTTTTCTTTTCTGGTCCTAAGTTCGATTGCCTTATTGGTCTTGAGTATTGGATCCTTAAACGGATATTGAATCACTCTAGTTTGGTTTGCTACCCGGTAGAAGGTCAGTGTACACTGACCCTCCCTTTTTTCGATTATCTTTTTTTTCTATGCTTACCATGTCTGCTTCTGTTGATTATCTTTCGTTCATGATATATGTTAGAAGTTTATGATTGATTATTAGGTTCTGCTCTTATATGTTATCCTTATTGTTTAAGTTAATCTTTTCCTGATAATTTATATTAGTATGGCTGGTTAATTTAGGTTAATGAACCTTATGACTTAACTAGATAAATAGTTGTTATTAGTGAATGATATAATTCTTTTGAGCCTTTGTCATTGTTTAGGGATCTTCTGATGATTCCTTTGTGTGCTTGTTAACTGTAATACCATGTTTAGTTAGCTTGATCAAGTTGTGCTCTTAGACACTTCTTTGATGTCCCGTCGAGGGTTTTGGTTTGTTACAACTGTGCTATATTAGTCCTTGGTTAGTAATGGTATATCATATGCTAGTGTGTCTAAAAATGATCTCCATCATGTTATTCATGTCATTCACATTTAACCTGTCTGTTTGGACTGAGTGATCTGCTGCTAAAACCATGCCTGTGTTGTACATATTTTAAAGCTTACATGATCTAAACTCCTGTAATGAATTCATCAGTTTAGTATTATGTTGTCTGCTCATATGATATTTCCTGTAATTATGTAATCCTATGGAAACTTCCTTGTGTATAAGTTGAGTGAAGTCTATTGACCTTCCATGCTTTTGTTTGCCCAGTTGTTCTCATGAACTTCCTGTTTACTCTCATTTAGGAAAGACTCTTGCCTATGTTATTGCACTCTTCACTTGAGATTGCCTTAGAGAATAGAAGTCAAACGATGCCAGCCTTAACAACTTAAAAGTGTGGGGTCTGAAATGAAAGTCTACTATTGTCGCTTATAGACCTAAACAAATCCTAATGCTTACTTGTCCTGTTAGAATGAACACCCCTACCCATTGTCTTACACTTGGTTGATATCTTTGCCAATAAAAACAGAGCTGGATATTGGATGAGAACCTAATAGGCTAAAAACCATGTTATTAAATTAGAGATAGCTCAAAACTCACTTTCCTGCCTATGTAGATACCTCTGTTGATTGCTGCTACCTCTAAGGAATTTGATCAAGACTGTTAATACAAATATCTAGTATAATGAGGCCTTAATTTTGAGCATGTATGCTTCTGATTGTTCTGGGGATCATTTGAGTTGAATGTTGGAGTGTTATAAATATAGTTAAAGATTCTTGAAAATTTGAACTTGCCAGTAGAACTAATAAAGTTAACACGCATGTCTTCCATACCTTTTGGATCACCTAACTCCTCATTTCTAACTTGGACTAGTTTACTGATGGTTTCCATGAACTCTCCCTATTCTACATCTGATGATGATCCCCTTAAATGTTCTAATATATATGTTATGAATGAATGCTAAACATCCCTAGACATTGTTGGTACCTACAGTAATTGACTTTTACCTGTTGGGTTCTGATTTTAAGGTTAATGTTATAATTCCTAAAGTGTTCATGTCGTTGCATTTCGATTCTATTCTATGCAGCCTTTGAACTTTGTATACTTGAAATTTTATGCCTGCTGCTGCTCTCATGTCAGATATTGAGTGAATACCTCATTGGTATCTAAACCTTTGGGGAAGAGTATGTGTGAGTGACTAAGGGTATTTGGGGTGGGACCTAGTTTGTGGTTAACCACCTGTCAAATCAATAAATCATGGGATTCTTCCGTTCGACAAGATCCATTGCGGCATTCTAAACTGATTAGTGGCATTCTCCCTCTAAATATATATTATAAAAATTCGTTTGCGCTGACTCCAGGTCTAACAAACTCGTCTCCCCAAGTACAAGCTACTCGGGTAATAAGTCACACCGAAAATCGTCTAAACTCTTGTATGACGTCATTAATGTGCCAACAAGCCCCAACTCGAATATGACCAATAAGGAAAAGCGAACCTGAATTTAGAGCTATCCTGCTCGCGTAATGAATAAAACGACCAAATAAGTGCTATGAACCTATCTCATAGATGAGAAACAAAACACACAAAATAGTTATAAAGAAACGTACCTAATATCTCACTGTTTTAGCGTGCAACCTGATCCACGCATGATACTGTTGTGGCGTGCAACCCAATCCACACATGATATCATTACGGTGTGCAACCGATCCAAACATCATACCCATGGCAACGTGCCACTCGATCTACACATAGCAATTACCAAGGGGATACCCATCGAGCCAAAATGCTCATACTCACTAGACACGCGTACATCAATTACAAGCACGACACATGCATAAACATAACTCTGGGGAGACATATATCATCTTGCGCTATGAAGACCTAAGCACGACTACTGTGCAATAAATAAATCAGTATCTCTAGAGCCATCACATAACACCACATGACTACACAGGATCACAACACATGTGTGAATAATCAAGCCACCTCACAACCTACATAGCTTAAATTGTAAAACAGGAAATAGATGATAAGATGAATAAATCCGCCATGCCCGAACACTCATCCGTAGACAATACTGTGCTGAATAAACATATCTAATATGGTGTAGAATATACATTCATTAGACCTACAAATGGCCCTCTAAATCGCTTTCAAACATCCCGAAATAGGTAAGTATCCTTTCAAGATCCACAATGACCCCATTCATGACACATAAAAAAAACCATCAAATCCTGAACAAACTTCGTAGTCCGCAACTATAGAAATGGTGCGTCTCTCAGACAAACTCTCCAATCTGCGATAGTACCAGGATCTCTGTACCTGGCCTCGATCTCTACTAAAATGATTGATACACCACCTCTACATAATCACCCTATGGGAGATACTTCCACAACCTACAACACCAAGTAACAAAATTTGAACATCAATGGCCATCGACCATGCTATTTCTATAGTGCTAGCCATGAATCCGCAAATCAATATACAATGCTTCTTCCACAATACAGACCATTCTCATGCAACACTAAAGTAGTGCCAGCATACTTTGAACACTTGAACTCTCCCCCGCTCCTTCGAGCTCGTGATATCCTTGTCAAAACCAAACCACAACCTTGCCCAATTTCCACCTCGCTCACCACATCAATCATGCTGCTGTGCAAGAGTTCTAGAACCCCATCATAACCATGAGCCACTAGTATAATAAATACTTCATCGGCAAGAAACCTTTCACTTAATTCATTTCAGAAGGAAAATCGTGACACTTAACCAACTTTCCTTTAACTGCAAAAGATACAAACCTCGAGTCATGGTCTAAACTACCATAACTCTTCGGGTCCAGTTTGCACATAACCAAACCATTAAACTGAGTCTTCTAAATCAACCGAGTCACGCAGACTGCCAAACCCACAAGTATAGCTACGAAACACCTATATATCCTTATTATACCGAAAGAACAGATCATTTTCCTTACCACGCTGATCTAACCCACTACTAAACTGACCCCACTTCTTTAGATTTACTCTTGACTTGCCTGTGAAGCAATACCACTTTTCCAACACATAATGGACCTCAATCAACACCCATCCCGAGTGACCCCAAATCACGAGTCCACATTATCTCAATACCATGAACCATTTTATACCCTCATATACGCTCAACAGTACTTTCAACTGGTATACCCGTTCTGATCAGACCTTTTGCGAATCCGAAACTGTTTCTTTCATCTCTCTAACACTGCACCACAGACCTGGTGGTAACATAGAAATACTCCAAAGTCTCTATCACAATTTGCTGCAATAATCAATCCTTGGCTATACAACGAACCCGAAAATCCTTAAGCACCACACTTTAAATGTTGGACCCACTAGAACCCTTGTCGAGAGTCGTCTCCTCTAAGCAAGTCCCGAATATATAAAAACAAACAACTGGTGCTACGTTAGCATACGAATACTCCAAAGAAGCAACTGAATGAATCATCTTCGTTGTGCATCATATTCACAAGAAGTATAAAATTTCCATGACCTTCACATGAATCGGTAAGGTGAACTGTAGCACATATCCATCAAATCCTTGCTCGAATTACCCCGTATGTTCTCTTCCTCAGTCATAACTAACCCACCAACTTACCGATAACAAAAAAAACACACAACCACGCGACCCAATCATCGATAATCAATTCCTTATAAATTTGTGCACTTGGAACATGGATTTGAAAGAGGAAAATTGAGGTTTTAGCCTACAACTTAGGAGAGTAAAATTTGGGGATTTGAAGGTGGATTTAGACTTTATTTTGGAATCTAATCACATATTTGGACTCATGGGGTTATGATCGGGATCTATCCAATAACCTGAGTTTTGACCAAGTGGGCTCGGATTGACTTTTGTTGACTTTTTAGATATTGAATGAAGATTCAAGCTTTATTATTTGAAATTGATTCCTGTAGCTTTATTTGATGTTATTGAGTTATTTTTCGCTAGATTTGAGCCATTTGGATGGTGATTTGCAATGAAAGATATTTTTGGAGTATTGATTTGGCTTGTTTGAGGTACGTATCTTGCCTAGCCTTGGTTTGAGGCACTAGTTGCTTGACTTGTTGATGATTGCTACATGCTAAGAGTGATGCACATACAGGAGATGAGCATGTGTGCATGCACCGAGTTTTTGTCCATGTTGTATAGTTCTTAGGCTATGTTATCCCTCGTATTGAATACTATGCTCCTTGCTATGTGATTTGGACCGGATTGGTAGCACATGAATGGTCTCTGCGGTTTGAGTTATAATAGCACATGAGTGACCTATGTGGTTGTTATATAATGGCACGTGAGTTGTCCGTGCAGTATGTGATAAGAATCTATCCTCCTAGGGTCGTTCTCTCATGTTTCTCTCTTGATGACGTCCACGCGATATGAGAAAAACTGATCAGTGTTTGGTTATTGCATCTCTTCTCTATTTGCAAACACCTTGGGTATATACATGATTTTATCGCATATCTTCTTTATATGCTAGTTTTGAAAGGTATACATGCATCTTTATGCATAACCGTTTGATAAAAAAAGTGAGGGCATGATACATATCTTTTCTATATATTAACCTGTGTATATTGACTTGATTCTTAATGCATATCTTCTCTATATATTAATGATCCTTTGGTGATAAATGGATATCTTCTTTATACGCCGAGTTATTGAACTATTATAAGATGTGCATCAATTAGGTTATACTTGTATTTTCATGCTTAGTTTTGGTATCATTATTGTCTACTTGTATATTTATGATCTGAGTAGGTTGGTAAGTGAGTATCATTGGTAATTTTTTCCACTATTACCTTGTCGAGGTTAGTCATAATACTTAAGGAGTACATGAGATCTATTGTACTCATACTACACTTCACACTTAATTGTGCAGATTCAGGTGTTGGATCCAATCTAATTTTGTGAGTGGAGCTATTCATTATGCTTTGGAGACCAAGGTAGAGCTGCTCCCTGATTGCAGTTCTCTCTTGCTATGTTAATGATTGTTGTTGTTTCAGACAATATATTTGTATTTCAGACTTGTATTCGTGTTGTAGAGCTTATGATTCGGTATTACCAGTTCTAGGGAGTTGTATTATGATTTGATATTATCAATGGCTATTTGCCTCTCAGACTTATCTTTTCTGTAATTCGTTATCATGTTTCTTTAATATTTCATGATTGGCTTGCCTAGCAAGTGGTTTAGGCCCCATCACAACCGGTGGTGATTTTGCGTCGTGACATGGATCAGATATTAAATAGAAAAAGAAAAAGAAAAATAGTGGACATAGATATTTAGCCAAGTGATGAGCTAATTAAGTCATATTAGTAATGAAATAGTACTAAAAATTTATTATTGTATTCTTTTATCATACAAGAGCTAATCACCGACGATATGATTTCTTTTAATTTCATACTTTGTTTTTTTTGGATACATTGCGTAGAGAAAGAATAATAGTTGAAATTTTGTTAATTCACTTAGATTTAATGAGCTCAAACAAATACAATAATATTTTATTATTATTTTCTTTAATATTAACCACGCATCGCGTGGGTTCTAATATTAGTATGGTGTATATAGGTAAAAATTTACCTGCACCGGCTGTTTACACCAAGCCAACAAATATAAGACATATATTTTGTATATATAGTTTTCAATACTTAATTATAATTAAATGGAATGCATTTTCACTTTAATTTGTTGATTTATATATTTCTTTGTATTTATTAGCATATGCAGATACTACGAGAAATTACAACAAATACTGCAATAATCATAATTCATAACTCATGGCCTTGTCACGTCTTGCAATTCTTTTGGGACATTTTGTTCAAATATTTGTGCTAGGTCCTACTACAGTTTGCGTGATTCTAGACAACTCTCAAACTGAAACTTTTTATCACGTGTATCACATAAAATAGTATCCCATTAATTATGTGACAATCCTAACGTAACTAAAATAAGACATTTTGAAAGTAAAGGAGTGTGGGGTGAGAGTAGTAGAGACCATTATCTCGACAATAATGAATCAAAGTTAGTATTTTCGATGAATATTCCCATTAAGTAATCATGCATTATGATAAGAACAATATTCAATCCTCTAAAAAATATAGCGCTTTGTTCTCTTTTGATTATTTCATCGCATATACTTGCAATAGCATTCAAGTAATACCCTTATATTTCACCTGTTTCGACCTCACATTTTATTCATGACTTGACGACTATTTATTCCTATTTTTGCGAGGGAATCCAACTTGTTTTGAAATAAGATATCTCATTTTAGTTTCTTAACGATGTCCAATTGTATAAGGCAAAAAAGTGGACGTATGATGTTACAAACGTAAAAATTGCATGGGGCGCCCTATTTGGTTGCCCCCATTTAACATATACCCATTTTTTTAAAAACTTTTAATTTGTACCCATTTTTTAAATAACTTTAGCCCCCTTTCTCCTCCTCTTTCTCCTCCTTCGTTTTCTTCTTCTTTCTTCTGCTGCTGTTGATGCAGATTATTTTTTAGGTAAAATTTCTTTTAAACTGTTGGCGCATAGAAATTAAAACTTTCTTTTGTACCTTTATATGATTAAAAAAGAAATTATTTTCCATAGTTCCTTTTGTGAGTGGAAATTATCAAGATACCATTGTTAAGATTTTAACAAACTAATACATAGACCACTTCCCTCATCCTCGGGAAGCTGTTCACTGGTTCCCAAACCTTCCTCCATCTGAAGCCTTCCAGTAGAGCAAGATGAATGAGAAAAGGTCAGTAGCGATTAGATACATGTATCAAGAACTCTAGCCAACTTTTCACGTGGAACAGATCTCTTCCTTCATTAATGACTTGAAAGATAGAACTTTTCACGTGCTGAGATTTTACCCCAAAGATTTTAACAAACTAGCAAGTTGTTTGATGGATGGATCCCCAGCTTATTTGAGCAGATCCTATTCTAAAGCTAGCTTCCAAATAACTTCAGCTCTAGAGCTGAAGTTCGACAGTTACAAAACAAAAACTTCAGCTCTAAAGCTGAAGTTCGATAGTTATAAAAACAGCTCTAGTGCTGAAGTTTGCCAGTTACAAACAAAAACTTCAGCTCTAGAGTTGAAGTTCGCAGTTACAAAACAAAAACTTCAGCTCTAGAGCTGAAGTTCGCCAGTTACAAAAACAAAAACTTCGCCAGTTACAAACAAAAAACTTCGCCAGTTACCAAACAAAAACTTCAGCTCTAGAGCTGAAGCTCGCCAGTTACAAAACAAAAACTTCAGCTCTAGAGCTGAACTTCGCCAGTTACAAAACAAAAACTTCAGCTCTAGAGCTGAATTTCAGGCCCGGCTACTAGAATGCTGAATTTTTGCGTGATTGCCTTTGCTACTTCAGCCCCATATGCTGAAGTTATGTGAAAAAACGGGTACGCTTGCAATTTTTTTTGCAAAGCAGGTACAAGTTAAAACGTGACACAAAAAACGGGTATAAATACAAATGCCCCGTTATAAACGGGGTAAACCACAACGAAGTACTTGGGCCTGGAAAGGGTTGCACAGGGGTCAGAATGTGAAACAACCCAATAAGAGGTTATCGGATTACAATTGGGATCGAGGTTGAGGTACATGTTTCAAGGAATTGCCCGACAAGAGTAATTATAGTTACTATAACTATCAGCTCATGGAAGTGTAGGGGTATGTGAATAGAAGTCTTTTCTTTATTTTGGCTTAACTCTTGTTGAAGCACTCTCGAACCTCCCTCCATTTTTCTTTTTCATTTTCCTCTTTTCAGTTGTTCATTTGGTTGTTGCTACTTTGAGAGTTTGTTTTAGATTTGTAATTCTATCTTCTGGTCAATACAATATGGATCCACTACAAATTATTACTTTAAAGTAAAATGTCTTACTTTAATTATGAGACCACCCTTACATTACTAAGGCAGGTAAGTGACACTCATAAAAAACTTACTCATATCTGCATATCTGTATATTGTGCTGGAAGGAGATTCAATTGAACATTAACTAAACATTAACATTAAATAAATTCGATACAAAGGGGGAAAATAGCTAATTAGTGAAGGGAGTGTGACTTTGACAGTTAACGCTATAATGTGAAAAAGGAAGACGTGCTTACTACTACTCTTTAGATGTGCACCCCGCCACCAAGGTCCCATTATGCACCAAACTAAAGTTGTTCCATTCAAATCAAACTAAAATTTTCTCAATCCATTACTTTTTCTTTTTCTCTATTTCGCATTTCATCAAACAGTTGATCGTCGATCCAACTTCATTCCCAGCGATCATCATTGACGATCATGAGAAAACATTTGTCCTCGTCCGTAGCACCACCACCTTCTCCGATTCCCACAGGCAGAGGGTCACGTTCGGCTGTCGACTCAATCTTGGGAGAGTACATTGATCAATCAATCCACGTTCCTCACTTGACTCTCCCGAAAAATACACATCGTTGGGTGCCTGATGAAATCTATTATCCGTCACTTTTGCTGAGGGAAAATGATGCAATGAATAGGTTGTTGAGCTCTGCTGCTGAATTCGGAGTGGTGAGGATTATTGGTCACGGCATATCTAGTGAAGCGTTAAGAACAATGCTGACTGAGAATGAATGGTTGTTTAGATTATCAAGAGGAAAGTATGGTAATTATGATAAGTTCGTTTGGGATTGGTCTGATAACACGATGGTACAAAAGGCCAAGGTTGCCATAGGGGAGCAAAATTTTCTATTTTTCCGGTAAGCTCTAAAACATATATTAATTTTCTTGTGTTTTTCTTTTATTATTTGGATTTAAACCTGTCTTTAATCTCTGATGCATGGAATTTGGACCATTATACCTGTCATGATTCAAATTCACATCATCGACATTCGGCACACTATTTGATTCGAGTGAACCAAATCATATGGTGCACCTCAATCATATACATTAAAACCAATCCAACTACAAAAGTTCTTTGAAAATCATATATACATATATATATATATATATATATATATATATATATATATATTTCATGTTAAATAATGAAACATTTTCAATTCAAAATTATACATGAAGCCTTTATAATAATAATAAAATAAAATAAAATAAATATTTTTATGTATGTCACGTACAATCCAATTAATACAATCCATCATAACTATAGCATTTGTATCAAAGAATAGAAATAAACACTTGGGACAATTTCAGACTAAAGAAAATAAGAATAACATATAGCTATCATGAAATAGAACGAGTGCCTCAACATATATCTCAAGAAGAGAGTCATTATATTCTAACCAAGCCTATTGCAAGTACTACACCTCATCCTGAAATAAATAAAGTAGGTGGGACCCTGAAGAGGGCTCACGTGAGCTGACTAGACTGTCATAGTACTCAATAAGTGTCATAGACACTCTCTAACTCAAGTTCCTAAGATAAGGCTTTACGAAAAAAATGCAACCAATAGTTAATGTACAACGATATTCAGTTATATCAATCATGATCTTTATCATTTTCAATGAAAAGTGAAATATAAACCATGATATAACTTTTAAAATATGAATATCAATCCATAATTTTAATAAAGATCATGCAAAATCATTTCAATTTTATTAAGTCATCAAAATCATTTTCGGCTTCTTAGGTCTAAACATAAGAAAATTCTCTTTTACCTTTTACAGGGAGCACTATACCGATACCGACATAATAAATAACTATTAGGTGATCAAACTAGCAATAAGTATTTGACCATACTTATTCAGGGGGCTTCTTGTAATACTGTACAAGTCGACTTAACCTTATTAACTTAAGTAATAATAATCTTCCCTCATGATAGGGGACTTTATCCCCCCAAATCTCGGCTTAGCCATGAAATATATCCCTACAATGGCACATGCAATTCTATGGTAACGAGCTCAATATTAGAATCAATATCGATAGTCTCCACTAGCAATTTCCAAAATATTTAACATATAAAAAATATTTTATAGTCTAATAGCATCAAAGGATCTATTCTTTTATCAAATTATGATGTCCATAGTCAATCTAAACCATTGGACAAAATCAAATGAATAACATTTTTCATGTTGAAAGCTTTAGCAATATAACATCAATCTTTTAAAATATAACAAGTGGTATACCACTTATCAAGTTTCAAAAAGAAATACTTTTTCATAAATATATATCTTTAGCATTCAAC